CGGCGGCTGTGACTAACGGGGCTGCCCTCCTGTGCCTCCCAGCACGGCAACGGGAACGCTCCCGACACTGCTTTCCCTATGAACCACACGTGGCACAGCCAGCACGCAGCGACAGGACAAGGAGTGGCCTGTAGGGACCCCCCAAAAAGCCTCTGGCACCCTCGGAGAGGAGACGGTGTTTGTACAGTCATAGCAGATTTCCGACAGCAGAGGTCAGGGATAGCACAGCCTGGCCCCTGGCACGCACAGCCCCTTCCTCAGCCCCAGGAACAGAAAAAAAACCGAGACGAAGAAGCGAGTAATGGGCTCCCAAGCCCTTTTTCCAGTGCTACAAAATGTGGTGCAACAGCTGCAAATGGTGTGATGGGTTTGAGAGAACATTCCAGTTCCCGCTCCACCTGGAGATGTAGCATTCAGCACAAAAATGATGGTTTATCAGCAGCAGGAAGCACCCCAGGGAAGGGGGATTCCATGCCAGGCAGCACAGGGGAGGTTTTGGTGATGTTGGGGTGCTGTGATAGCACCTGCTGGTTAAACGTCACTTGCTAATTTCCATAATGTGCTGCTTCCTCCCTCATCTGGGTAATTATCAGTGACGTGAGAGCAGACAGTGCTGACCTTTGCAATCCTCTGCTGGATGCCTTCCTACGCACCAGACCTGCACCACAGCCCAGGGCAGGAGGCCACCCCTCCAGCAGCCCCACACATCACAGGTGCCAGCAGCCAGTGCCACCGCTCCTTTGGCTCTGGGAATTGTCTGTGACAAAACCCACAAGTGGCCCTGCAAAGAGGAGAGGAGCAGATCTGCTCCCTGAATCACCTCTGGTCTGTCAGGCTCATCGGCATCCACTGCCCCTCCGGTGCTACCAGGAAATACCACTAAGCCCTGAAGCAGACCGGCCTTATTACACCTAATGCTTCCTCTGGAATGCATCAAAATTGCAGTACCTGAACTACCTTTTGCGTTTTTAACTCAAATTTTCTCAGAGTGGTTAGCGGCAAAGGCTTCAGAGAGAGTTACAGCAGTTGGTAGTAAGATCCCTCCAAATCCATAGAAACATTTCCCATCTCTTCCAGCATGCTATTTAAATTACTGTATGAAAAGTCTGAAGGGATTAAAACATCAGGTATTTTTTTAACCATCCTACCTCTAGACAACACCCTGTGATAGCGAGATCCACAGTTTAGTCACCCTTTTTACAGTAACTTATTTTCTCTTATTAGTTCACATTTTCCACTTTTAGCTTTGTTGGAACTATTCCATTTTCTCCTCATGAGAAGGGAGAGCAGACACCCCCACCTTCCTCCTACAGTATTCCATACACAGTTGTCATCTACCACTCAGTGTTTCCCCCTTTAGCACTCCTTCCTTCTGCCAAACTTGTCCTCATCCCCTGGTCACCCTCACCACCCTGCTCTGACCATGGCCTTTATCTCACACCTTCTCAGCATGGAGAGGTAGCACTCTTTACCTTATTTTGGCTACATGTGGGGCAGGATTCCAACCTGAGCTCAAGACCCATATCCCCAGAGCTGGGGGGCTTCCACAAGGAGCCAAACCCTTCCCTCTGTTTCTATGCCAGGTGATACAGGGGCTTTCAGCAGGCTACAGATACCTTCACTCATTCAAACTCTTCCAAGGACATGAGGAAAAGTGAAAAGCTTCAGGGTTAAAGCAAAAACAGGAAAAGCTGCTGGGAAGGGAGACTCAGCACCAACAGAGGAGCGCCCCATGGGAGAGGTCCCCATTTGTGCCCACACAGCTGCCAGCCGAGGGGCAGGAGCCCCATTTGTGCCCACACAGCTGCCAGCCGAGGGGCAGGAGCCCCATTTGTGCCCACACAGCTGCCGTCGAGGGGCAGGAGGGGGATTTACCGTGGGGTCCTCGTGGCTGTCTCTGCTCTGGGACTTACGGCCTGGTGGCCGGTTGCAGTTCCTGCCACGCTGCACTTGAGGGCTGGCAGAGAGAGCAGAGATACAATTCAGCACCACCTCCTTCCAAATATGAGGAGCAGAGTGCAAACCCACCCTCCCTGCAGACCCCCTCGAGGGCTGTTTGCACCATGGCATCCACCCACCCACAGGAGAGGAGAGGGAGAGAAGCCCCTCAGGCACATGCTGAAAGTGAGGAAGGCAAGAGCAGGACATGGCCTTGCCCTGTGCTCAGCCTGAGAGCACCACCACCACGGGGCTCTGCAGGCCAGCAGTGTCTGCTGCCAGCACTTGGTGCAAGGAGGACATGAAGGAATTGCACCAGGCAAAAGCAAGAAATCTCTGTGTGCCCCAGAAAAAGCAGCAGCTGAGTCCTGCTCAGGGCCAACAGCGACAAAACAAACAGCTCCTGCCCAGAAAGCACGTGGGGCCTTTGAGGCAGGGCCAGGCACACACGTGTGCACTGCCAGGAAACAGATTTTAATGAACAGAGCGTCCTGAGATGGATTCTGAGCACAGCAGTCACTGGTGCTTCATACACAGAACATCAAGGCCAAAACGGTTACATGAAAGACATGCCCCAGTGTGTGTCTCTTCCTCAGCACCAGCTCAGCCCATGAGGGAAATGCTGTAGTGAGCACCAAACAGCACAATGTGCACTGCTCTGTCCCAGGCTGTGCTGCTCTTGTGCTGTCCAACTATTCTTGCTCCAATTAATCTCCTAACCACCCCTAAAAATAGAGATATATGGAAGGGGGCAGAAACCAGTGCCAGGCCTGGTGGTGTGTGTGGGGACAGGCTGCCAGCCCAGGTGCTGCTGAACTCACCCTCTGCCCGAGGAGAAGGGACGCCTCTCGTTTACACCCTGCCTTGAGCCACCACAGTTCTTCTGCAAAAGGGGCAGAACACACTCAACAGCCACAGAAACAACTTCTATGCAACTAGGGAAAAAAGCTAAAGCAGCTCCTGCCCTGCCCCCCTGATCCTCTCAGACCCAAAGAATTCTGTTCTTAAAGTAGCAAGTTTGAAGCACTCCATACCCACCAAATATTATCATCCAAGGGTTTACAGGATTGTGGGGAGTCTGAACCTGCTCTTTATCTCTCATATAGCATCACATCACTGGGAAAGTGAGAGGGGCAGTTCTGTCAGCTACAAACATGTCCAGTTTGTATGCTCATCCCACAAATGAGGGAGGCTTTGCAATACAAAAGCTTCCCCCCCATGATTAGCTGGCTACAGAATCCTAAACACCTTGATCACCCCAGGCTGACCACAGGCAGTTCCCTGACTGTCCTGATCCCACAGACTCTCACCAGGCCCTTTCTGAGTTCTGCAGAGGCTCTGAGCTCCATCTCACCTGCTTTGTCCTCTCTGAAGCAGGCAGTTTGTTGCGCTGGAGAGTTCCACCCCCTCTTTGAGCTTCCTTTTTGCTGGAAGAAGGGAAGAGGAGAAAAAAAATGTAGTGCTATGGTAGTGTGAGTGCCACCAGCACCCAGGGGCAGTGTCAGTGTAAGACAGTGTAAGGCATTATCATGGCACTAGGTCCCACCTCCCCATCCACAGTCCCTGTTCCTAATTCCCACCCCTAAGACTTCTCCCTTTCTCCTCCAAATTCCCACTGCATGCTACATCCAGGTTCCCAATGGCTGCTTTCATATCAGGTCTGCTTCTGCATATGCTCTATGGGACTAGAGAGAGAGAGAGCATCTGCAAGGCCGAGTACACAGATGAGAAACTCCTCAGGAGCTGCCCGTGCCTGACAGTCCCCTGGGAAAGGGGCTGTTCTCTGTCACTCTTGCTTCTCCTCCTCTACTCCACACTGCTTCCCACCTGCCCTTGGGCCCTTAGTGCTGAAAGGGAATGGGGAAGAGGAGCACTAACACCAGAGCATTTCTTAGAGGGCCAGGGAGTCAGAACTCCCCCAGGCATTGCCCAGAGACAGCTCCACAGGCAGAAGCTGCGCTTCTGCAGCCAGAGATTTCCCTCCTTGCTGCTGCTGCTCAGGGGAAAGGGTACTCACAACCTCTCAGCACACATGAGGCATTTGTTGGTGTGCTGCCTGCCAGAGGCATCCCGGACAGGGGCATTCTCCCTGGTGCAGGACAGGCGGCCGCCGGCTTCAAACTGGGAGCGGAACTCGCTGCAGTCATCCTGCGGAAGGAGGGCAGGGTTAGGGCACTCTGTCCTCCTTGCCTTATTGATCAGATCCTTAGAAACCTGGGGTTTTCCTGCCAGGAAAGCATGGAACCATCACAAATGCATCACAGGAGAGTCTGGGTGGGGGTGAGAGAAGAGGGTGTGCAGTACCAGCCACTTAGCATATAAACAGAGGGGTGAGTCAGAAAAATTCCGGGTCCTTCTGCCTGCACAGCACGTGTTGGGAGTTCTCTATGCTATGCTATGCTAGGTCCCACTAATTATTATTCTCCTGGCTGGGTTATCCAAAGCATGCCAGTGATGTGACCGATACAGCAATGAAGTCACTCCCTTTTCTCCCAACATCCTTAATACACAGCTACAGCCTTTTCCCAGATTGTAGCTCAAGATAATTTTCTTTACAAAGCGCGTAGGATCCTCAAAACCAGCCACACTTTGGGACGTGTCAATCAAGAGGCAGCAGTTAAAACATAAAAGCACAGTGCAAACACACTTAATAGCCCACGAGCACAGGAAGGTTGTTTGGAGAGTGGATGATTAATTTGTTCCTTGTTCAAAACTGCTGTACAGAAACTGTGTTAACCTGCCCCTGTTATGTAACACGGATGGAAACATTCAGTCCCCTTAATTTCAACTATTTCACATACTGCAATGGGCAGTTCCAATCAGCAAGTACAAAGGTAAGGAAGTGACTACCGCTCACCCTTTTCTTTTTTTAAAAACAGCTTTTAACACTTGCAATTTTCTGCCCATATTGTGCACAGTTTTGCTGGCTCAAATGAAGGTCCTTGGCAGGTCACTGGCCTCACCCTTTGCTTTGCTCAGAAGTTTACAACACCTCATCCTCTGTGCCAGGGGAAGGTTTCCCCAGTGTTGTTCTGCATCCCATCCAGGGCTCCCCAACCTCCCGTTCCTCAGCTTTCCCATGAGGGTAATATGCTGGAAAACCACTCTGAGTACAAAGCCCCACATTTCCCTAGAGCCAGCCCAGCCACAGGTAGCAGAGATGATCTGGCCCTGGATGAGCCTCTCCTGCTGTGCCAACACCCATAAAGCATTGTTCCATCAGAAGTCAGTGTTGCACCCACTCCAGAGGGGCTCCCCACAAGCCTCACTGCATCTCCCCACCACCAGCTCACACCCCTGCACAGTTCAGGTAATGCCTCCCCTTCCCAACAAGCCCAGGGAAGCTCTCCTCGTTCCCTGGGACCAGCCCAGCTCAGCAGCCCAATCCTCTGCCCACAGATCTGCCTTCCCCTGAGTGCCTGTCAAACATTTTCTCTTTGAGCCAGCGTTTCTGAAGCCCTGTTCAGGCCTGACCTCTGCTGCAAAAATCTCACCGAGTACATCTGAGTCGTGCATTTGCCTTTTTCATGGCCTGTAACATCCCTGACCCACTAATAAATGCAGGGCTTTCTTATCCTTTGTCACTTCTAGCCAATGAGTACGAATTCTTGTTAAGCACTGACTGTGTGATCTTGCACTGCCATTACATTTTATCTTGTTTCTATTACTCCAGGCCTCAGCACTATCCAATTAGTCTTGAGTGATCTGCTGATCCTTCTCTGCTGATACTGCCTCCCAGCTTTGCCATCAGCAAATTTCACTTACCCTTCTATTTTTTGGTGCCAAAGTCATTAGAAAAAGCACTAAAACAGGATTATCCCCAAGACTGAAGCTTAAGGGGGCCGCACCAGTCCCTAAGCAGGAATCAAGAGGAAAGTGGTAGAAAGCAACTGTTTTCCCTTTACTGGGCTGCTTTTGCCAGCAAAGCATCAGTGCACAGCAACATGGAGGCTGCAGCATGCCAGGGAGAAGGTGGCAAATCACAACTCCACAAGAGCAAAGTTTCCAACAAAAAAAAAAAAGCTAAAACTGAGCCACAGGCCTGGAGATAGTGCAGGGCTGACATTTCCCAGAACACAATGATCTCTTAAACTGTGCAGAGTTCAGATTTAGGGCTTTTCACACATTTTCCTTTTCCAGCTAATTAGCAGCCTCAGCAGAACTGACCTCTCCACCTGAAAGCTGAAATTTGGGACAGCACAGCACACCTGGCTTCCTGATCTGTCAGGATTTGTCTGTCCCTAGAACCACGGGTCACTGGAACAGACCATAATATTCAGGCACAAGTTGTTCACTTGAGGGATTCAAGAGCATGAATAAGAAATAAAGAATGTAAAGAAAGTGGATCTCAAAATTAACTCAGAGGAGAAAGAGCAATGGAGTAGAATAACATTCCCTTTCCTCTGCCTTGGGTGAAAATCCAATAAAGTTCCATATTGACCTGCCTAATACTTTAATCTCACCTTATCTTTTCCTTGTCTGTTTTTAGATAACTTCTGCTCATTCTCCCTTTTGCTGGAAGAGAAGAGAGATGAGAAAGTGAATACCAGGGTGCTCCAGGGAGGGAGGAGAGGTTTCCCACGCTCCTCTCCTTTACTCACAACTTCTCTGCACACATGATGCACTTATTGCTGTGCTGCTTCCCAGAGGCATCCCGGACAGGGTCGTTCTCCCTGGTGCAGGTGAGTTTCCCTCTCTTGAACAGATCCCGAAACTCCCGACACTCGTCCTGTGCAAACACCAAAAGCATGAGTTGACACAGATATGCTGACAGAGAGGCACATCTCCCACAAATCCACAAAGGATAATCCAGCCAATGAATTACATTTCAAACGTTGTTTTGCTTCCTTGAGGCGTAACTCGGTGGAAAACCGTAACGTGCAGCATAAAACAAATAAATCCGTATGTTTAGATCAGCAGATCTGTCTTTCGCATCCAGGGTAGCCTTGTTGCTATTTCTAACAGATAACACATGCAAGAGCCTGCCCGAAGGACCTAAGCTCTGCTCTAAGTATAAAATCCACAACTTCAGTGAATTTTAAATGAGAAAGTCAGTTTTCCCATCTCTCGTGAGAGAACTCGCTACTAAAATTAAAGAAATTTTAAACCCATGCACAGTAAAAAAAAAAGAAGCTGCAGGCATAAGAAAATATAATCCTTGAACACCTCCTATTGCCAGATATATGAGAGCAAGAGGTGGGTGTTTTTACCTTCCACTTAACATGATGGTATGTGTTAATTGAACCAAAGCACTCTATTTCACAAAAGGCTTTTGTAGCAAAGCCTGCTTAAGCATTTCAGCTCAGTCTTTACTTTTCTCTGAACAGCTTTCCTATAAGTTTCAGGGCAAGTCTGGAGCATAAGAAACACATGGAACATGTGAGGTCTTCAGGTTCATTTATGCAGCACTCACAACCTTATCTGTTATGTGATCTGTAATACATTTTTCCTCTCACACCATGTAGAGGAGATAGCTTGATAGCTTATCCCAGTTCTGCAGATGGGGAAGTCAAGCCTAGAAAATTACTTGCCAAAAGCCAGACAGAAAATCTATGGCTTAACAAAGAAATTCAGTGTAGGTCTGTTCCTGACACTGTAAAACTGTCCTGATGCCTTCAGGACCACACTTTGGCAAGTCAGATGTCTAAAAAAAAGATCTCCCTTAGGACAGCTATGCCTTACAAAGCCTTTAATTTGTCCAGACACACAAGAGCTAGAAAGCTACCCTGCTTAACCAGATGTAAAAAAATAAATAAATCAATCACCACAACCAACACTATCTGATGGAAACCAATTTGCTTCCATCTAGAATAAAAACCCAAGGCTAAAAGGACAGCTCCCTCCATGTAAAGACCTGCTATCTAGAAAAACAGCTATGGCTAAAAGAAACCACAGGTGCATCAACAAGATAAACAAGGGACAATTAGAGCCAGCCTATTCCCACACCCTGCCCTAGTCAGAGCTCACATGTGCCAACCTTGCTATTAAATATTTGCCAGATTCCAGGGGTGCCTTATAAACAGGCAGGCATCCTCCTCAGCCAGGCTCTGGGTCAGGCACACACAGCACATGCCGTGATTGCCTGGGAGGAGCCGCCAGGAATTTTGGTTTCTTTTATGCTGGAGGATGACACAAAGCCTCAGACTCTTCCCAAGGCTGGGCACGTTTGCCCTGCTCCCCTTTTTCAGGGCCCTTTCTCACGCTGCAGACGAGGAAGTGCCCTGGGCAGCGGGTCAGAGGCAGCAGACGAGATGCCAACGCCAATAAAACTGGCTTCAGCAGCCATGCTTCACCTCACCTTTCCCAAGGAGTTCACATTCCTGTCCAGCTCTCCACCACTCCCTTGGGTAGCTGAGTCTCTTTCCCTGCAAGAAAAGGAGGAGTGAGTGACGGGGCAGCGTGCAGTGCTTGGACACAAAGCCAAAACAGGGGGTGATTAAAGGCCAGTCCAGCCAACCCCACCTCCCCATTGCACAAGGCAGCAGCACAGACCAGCAGCAGGGCTCAGCTCCCTGACACAGTCCAGATGTTAAACACATCTCTGCTCTGGGATCACTGTGCCACCCTTTCTCCCTGCCCAACATCCAGCTCTCCCCACCCTAAGAAACACCATCTATGGAAACAAGAGATTAATCTGTGCAAGTTTTCACTCTGCATTTGTTCCTCACGCCCTGTGGTGAGTCCCCACCATGTCATGAGCTGGAGAGACCTACTGGGTTCACAGGTTTGCTGAAGAGCTACAAACTGGTCTGGCTGGCCAGGGACAACAACTTTATAGCACGGAGCCTCCAGAGAGTTGGCTCCCTGCTACGGGAGGAGAGGACATGCTGTGGGTGGGCAGGGCTGCCACTGGAGCCAGCAGGCAGCTGATACTCACAGCAGCCTCTGGCACATCATGCACTTGTTGAGGTCTCCTTTTTTATTTGGGCTGCTGAAGGTCTCCCTGGTGATGGGACAGGAATACTTCCCGCTGCGCAGGAGTGACCAAATTTTCCTGCATTCGTTCTGAAAAGCACAGAGGAGGGCAATCAGTGGAGGCTCCCAGCAAGATCCTGAGAACTGTTTGTTCACACTGAATCTTTTTTGGGTGTGCTGCAGGCTCTCAGCAGCACCAGTTTGCTCACACAAACCACGCTCCTCCTGCCCATCCCTGGCCACACACCACACGTGGCACAGGCTGCACCCAGAGCCCTGCTCACGGCTCCCGAGGCAGAAAAGACAATGAGAAAGTTCAAAACCCATTGCAAGAACCATTAATCACAGGGAAAGGAATATATATTTAAGGAACAAGTTTAATTTACATACAGCTGCAAATTGCTGCCCGCTACAGCATAGAACTACATGTTATAAAGTTAGCCAAGAGCAGAAAATACAGCCCTGCAAGTGCCAGAGGGATGCAAGAGGAATGAACGGGCCAGCGTGACTGAAGAGTGATTCACATGCAAGACAAGCACAGAAAAGCACAACCCTCTCAGGAAGCAGAGCAGTAATATTGTGCAATGTTGCAGCAGCCCATTGCATCTTCTGCTGGGTAACTGAGATGCAGACCAGGGAGAAGCAATGAACCGTTTAGTTATTTTTGGCTACTGTGTTTCCCGAAAGGATCTTTACCAAGGAGACAAGCTTGCTTGATTAAAACATGAATGGAACTGACTTCTAAGTCATTGAATCAAATTATTTTCTGAGACTCAAAGGACTCGCCTTAATTCTTTTAATTATGAAACTCAGGAATTATCAGAAGCAGGGGTTTCTGCTGGATTAGAAGCTACATTCTAAAATATCATTAAAAATATAATTCATGCCATTTCTAACATCATTTCATGAGATTTCCAGCCCAGAGCTGTTTGGATATGTTCTCATCATCATGCACCAAACACACACTGTCAGCTGGAGCCATTGCCATATTACCTAAGTGTTGTCTCTAAATATGGAGAGATTCACTGCTTTTTCCACCACTGAAAAAGCTTTATAATATCTAAGTATAGTGCATCTAAATGGACTTTGCTCAAAGCATGCATTAAAGCAGTGTAAGTTGGCAAAACAAAGGGAGAAGCAGAATAGAAAAGGTTGGACTCGCCTTAATCGAAGCTTGACTGGCAACATCTGTGACAGAAAAACCAACAATGAAACCATACAAAAATCTTTGAAGGGAAATTTTAAAGCAAAAGCATTTAATTAAAATACTTGATGCAGTTTCCTAATCCACCCAAATACCTCTTGATAAAAGCTAATCCAATGCATTATTTCACACTGATAGAAATTCTCTAATGCCCAGTCCTTTCTGGAACATTGCACTTTTTGTCATTCAAATGCAAAATCACATCCATTTTTTTTTTAGTGTCTTTGTGCCCTTCTTTACTGCGTTTCTTTTCTCAGGCTTAAAATCCAAGTTCCAAGGATGGCCCAGTAACTGTTTATCCATTATTCTATACCCCTGCCTGGGTAGCTGCATCAAACCCACACAAACATTTTTGGCATTCTTCACCATTCCTTAAAATTGGGATACCAGAACTAGGCCATTGTTGTTTGTCCAAAATGACAAATTCCTTTTCAAGGCCCATTCCATTTGCAGTACTTCACACAAACTATCAAATTAATAATGAGTCAGCAGGTGAGTAGCTGATACCTATTTCTTTTTACTAAGCCACTTAAAGCTGGTATATTATGTTTCATCCTCCTTTGCATCATCAGTGGCATTGCAAGGAACTGTCAAGAAATCTTCCATTAGCACTTTTTCAATAGAAACTGGCAGGAAATTGCAAGACCATTGCTTCAAACCTAACTCCTGCTGAAGTCTATCTATTGTAGCCAAATTACTGCAGCCATGTGAAAATGCCTTCCTTAGCAAGTGTTGACAAGACATTACCATTTTTCTGAATTTACAGAAAATTGTATTACATTTTTGTTCAAAGTTGGGCTTTTTACAGAAGAATTCAGTCTGGTTGGAAATTGGTATTCTTCCACTTAGGATGGAAGTCAAATGGGGGTTTGGCTTTTTTGTTTTCTTCTTAAACTGTTAATTCCATTAAAAATAGATGCTTTCATCTATCAATAAAACTTCACTATTTCTACATGAAAAAGAGAGAGTAGTTAACAAGACAGGTTATATCAAACTAATACATGTAGAACAACAAAGAAAATTGTGGTCTTCTGCTATACCACCAGGCTTTTTACAAAGCAAGGGCTCTCTAATCCTCTCTCTGTCTTTATGGGCACTCCCAGGCCGCGTCCTCTGCCAGTCCCAGATTCCAGCACAGAGAACATCACAAGTTACTGACCTGAGAAGAAGCAGAAAAATGCCAGAGCAAGGACCACCGAGGCACCTCCTATTTTCATGGTGAGGGTGCTGGCAGCTGTTTGCCTACGTTGACTCTACTAGAGCATTGCTCAATGAAACCCAAAGAAAGGGCTCAGGGCTGATCACATATATATAGGTGACCAGGTTCTCCGCCTTCCTTATGACATAACCTTCCCAAGAACCATCATTAGCTGAAAAAACCAGTTTGACACTACTCTGAATTCTAATGATCCCATTAACACAATTAATTTCCATAAGGATGGGACATATTTGAGTCACTCCCTGCGTTTTGTCAAGGTAAGAAAATTATAAATAGATCACTTCAGATCCCCCACACAACCAGAGGGATTCTTGCCACCCTCAGGGTGGTTCATAAGACAGTGGGAGTCCAGCCATCACACTACAAACACCCTTTCATATCTCAACCAAATAGCTGAAAGGATTTTAATAACTCGGCTGCAGAAGAGACAACAGGAAGGCCAGGTCACTCCAACCTCTGGAAGTCAGTCTGCTTTTATTAAAGCACCTCAGTATGAACCTGAAGAGTAAACATTCAGGAAACATTGAAAAACATCAAGTTTGAGGCTTTGTTGAAATTCTTTAGGTTTGATGCTGCAGTTCTCATAGCAGCTGTGTTAATGATAAAACCATACTGCCAAATCCTCATGTTTTCTTAGTTTCTCCCTGTTGTCTTCAGGAAAAAAAATAAAAAGGCAGTGTTATTAGTGAAAACCATTCTTCAGCCCAAGTGGGACCTGGCAGGCCATTATAGATGCTGCTCTTTGAGGTGTGTTGTTATTGATGCTAAAGGGTCCAGCAAAGCAGCCCTGCTCTGGGCTTTCCCAAAGAAAAGATAAGATGAAAGTAATCATCCTGTGCAGGATTTCTCAGGAGTCCCAAGCGAGGAAAATAAAGATGACATCAAAGTTTTGGAATGTGATTTACGTGGGAAGAAGCTGTGTGCCTTGTCTCCAGTGAAAAGAGAAGAATTTGGAGAGAAAAGTCATTTGCAAGGTTTGAAAGGGGTGGATAAATGAGTCAGTCGAGCAAACCAGAGCAATGAGGGGCTCGAGCACAGGCTGTGGCTGTGCAGAGAGGCAGATCAGCACCATCTGAGGAAGAAAACATACTTCTGCATGACATATGTGCCTGGCCAGACAGGCCAGCAGAGCTCAGTATAAATCCTTGTAATAAACTGCTGCCACACATTTCTCAGATCAGAACAGTTGCTCGTGTTCGCAGCTGGAGCCAAGGCCAAGCCAGCACAGCCCTCATTTGGAGTGTGGTCACCCCAACATTTCTCTTCAACTCAAACTGAAATCTGTGTGCAGGTTCACAGTGGAGAGTTTGCAATGCAGTAGCAAAGTGCCCAAGGCCATGCAGATGGCTCATGGCAGAGCTGAAGAGCTGTGTATTGTCCTGAATCATGAGATAATTCCTGTATGCGTATTTGGGCGTGGAATTGGAGGGAAGGCCAACAGGAAGAGAGGAAAACTAAGCTGACAGAGCATGTGCCAATAAATCCTTGAAGAGAAAAAGCAAAAAGAAAAATCAAGTGTATGGTAGTTTAAAAGTGGTTAGAGCTTGGAAATCTATCTGAAGGACAAAAAACAAAAGATGCTATTTGTTCCTGAGGCGTCTGCCCATGAGTCAGCCATGAGGTGGGAGGGTTTGGGAACGGGAAGCGCATTTTTGAAAAGGGTTTTGTTCTTAAAATTTCCTTTTCCTCCAAAAGTTCTATTCTGACAGAGAAATGAAACAATTCCCTGATTTAAGACAGCTGGCTGACTGCCCTGTTCCTGAAGGAAGCAGAGTGGGTGCCAGATCAGGTCAGACTGGCCAGGTGAGAGCAGCTCCCAGCCTGGAAGTGCAGAGTGACAAGGAAGAGGAGAGACAGATCCTGACCCCACACTGGCCTTGTCACCACCCCACTCTCCCATATTCCCACCATGCAGCCCCCCATCCACCAATCACACCCACACCAACACGTGGGAGAAGCCCAGAATTGCCCAAACACACCTTGATACCAAAACCAGATCCACTCTCAGTAACAAAAGTCAAGAGTGGAAAAAAACAAAAAGGATTTTTAGCCTAATTACTACTGCACAACAAAAACCTCCTAAAAAAACCGAGTAATAGAATGAAATGTGAAGGGAAGGAGAGGCCCAGCAATGCCTCATGGTTTGCAGGATTATTTGTGTTACACAAACCTGGGCACAATGAGGGATGACAGCAGGAGTGTATTAAGCATAAACCTTGCCTGACTCCCTTGATTGCCTGTATTGATCGATTTACACTGTATTGATCCATCTACACCATGAAGTCTCAATCCTGCACTGGAATCCAGACAGCCCATTAATTTCCATAGAAATTTATATCCCATAGGATTTGATCTGGAAGAGAGATGATCCTGATGCTTTATTTATATATTTTTAGCACAGCACCTAGCTAATCTTAATTTACAAATAAATGCCAAACAGCCAGAGTGCAAAATGCCACAGAGAAAAGCAGGTGAGGGCAAGAAGAGATATTGCAAAGGTATCTTTTGTTCATGTCTCAGTTAAAAAATTTGGGAAAGTAAACAGCATATAATGATGCTGTGCCTGGTAGGACAGCTCTCACTGGGTCTATTTTTCACCACATTCTGCTATGAAAACAGGAATCAGGATAAAAATAATCATGAAGGAGTAACTAGGAAAATGCAGGA